GTGTTGGGCAGAGCACAGATAGCCCATTGTGTAGCTTTGTGCTTAATTACAAACAATCAAAAATCCTGTTTATAACAACTCGAGAGAAACAAGAATCAGAAACAAGTGAGATTTGTAAATAACCTAACTCTAACGATAAGACTAAGTAAGCTATAAAAGAGCGGATAAATATGGTCACACAAACTCAACCTGGAGCAAAGAGAACTGCGCGTAGTTAACAAGCTAGCTTCTCTATCATAAAGTTTTTATTTTCCTTCTGTACTACTTATGTGTATACTTTTCTTGTTGTTGTTGTTGCCGTAATTAAAGAGAATCTCGAAAAAAAGTCATTTTAGTTCTTAATACATGCATAGGAGTTATTATGTTGTATTATGTTTTGTAACTTTGCAAAACGTTCACATTCTCTTCTACTCGACAAGAACTAGATTTGTAATTTGGTAATTATGTATTAATGAATTCAAGAAACATTTAGATAACTGGATGCTATATGGGTTAGTCGTGGCCTAGTGGTTATCGTTCCTCACTATGGGTCCATAGGTCTGTGGTTGACGATCGTAACCACAAAAATAAAATAAAAAAGCGCTCTCTGATTAATATTGTAAGTGCGCTAACTTTGGGGCTGTGGGGGCTTTATAAGATTGACTTTCAACCCCCACTATTTTACTAGAGTAGCCCAAGAGTTGACGATGGATACTGTTGACTAGCTGCCTTCCATTTAGTGTATCATTTCAGAATTAGCGCTAGTTAATGCAGATATCCCTTGATTAGCTTTGCCCGAGTCTCCAAAACAAAACAAATTGGTGCTATAATCGAAACGTTTCACCTAAAATTCCTACAAATCACCGTTTTCTCTCAGCTCCGTCCAATGTCTCTGTTTCAGATGCTTCACATACGTATCCCGTTAATTTCAATGTGTTCTTGTGAGGAACTTGGCTGAACCAATTTCGAATAATTTTGACATAGGAAGATAGATAGCCCCCCCCCCAGCCCAATAAAAAGATCGAGTTTAAGTAGATAAGAAACAACGTCAATGATTGGTTTGTTTTAGATTTACACGGGATTTATTTGCGATAGCCCTCCCCACCCCCCACCCCTCACCTCTAATTTATCAGTAATAGATTAGAGGAAAGGCATCTAATTAACAGCACCTATCGTCAACTATTGGGCTATTCTTTTACCAACGAATAGTGGAATTGACCGTCACATGAATGATTCAAGTTTTGCAACCATTTCAATTTTATATCATGAATGAAGACTCACAACTGAGTGAAAGCGGTCAATAGCAAAGCAAATGAAGTGACAAACAAAAGTGCCGTTTAATATTACGCGTAGCAAGTGTACCTTTGTGTCGGACGGACGGTTCATGTTCTACGACTCAAAATAGTAGAAGGGGTGGCTCATAACATAAATTTTTACGCCCTTTAATGCCAGTACTTTTTCTAGTATATTAATATACTGATTTGAATAATAATAAAAAACATTCCGAACTTACAAACTGGATGGTAAAACAAATCACAAACAAATTCAGTTCTTTCCAAATAAATAACCTCTGTCACTTCACAACTTTGCTAATGTAATGTTATGCCTTAACTGGGTCATCTACTTTAAAAGCAATGTAATATGGAACTTTTCTCATGTAGTTTCATGTTGTTGATTTTGGGGTTGGATAATCCAAATGACAATGAAAACTTGCCAAGTGCCAAAAGTAACGACTTACTTAGGCTCTATTCCGTGTAAGTCTCGTGTGAAAACATACCTTCGGATGTTTGCTTTTGTAACAATACGTGTAAAATATGTCTATTGATGTACGTCATAGCTAACTATCCTTTCCATTTCACTTTTTAAATGTTTTATTTTATAAACATATCATAAAAACCTATTATTAAGACAGGAAAATAACGAGACTCTTCACCTATTCTTGCTAATTGAGGTTCACGAAGGGAACACCAAGATTTTTGCATTCATTCACAGGGTCAAACATTATTCGTACCCCCCACCTTCTCTTTTTTCTAAGAAATGGGGTGTCAAATGAAGCACATTTCTTCGACCCGGTCCTGTTCGTGCTATACTACACGGAGAAAACTCTGATTGGATGTTTTAGACATGTAAGTGACGTGTACAGGCCAGTTATGAGAAACGGTACCCATGCAAGATCTCCCGTAGGTGAGGCACGAGGGCCACGGTGCTTATAGTGACAGACGAACTCGCAGACAACAAATAGTTGGGTGTCTGTTTGCTCAAGTTCAATCCCAGAAATACGTACGTCTCTATTGCGGTTCGTGATCTATTCATATCAGTATAGTAAAAGAATGCATGCCTATGTAATGGATTAGTGATAGTTTCAGGTGTTTTCAAAAAAAGATTGGATTATCCTTTAATATGGACCGTTTTCCCATAAGCTGTGGGTTTTCTGAGCAAAGTTCCTCTGATGTCCAACTTCTCAATGAAGACTCTTGTCCGTCCGAAGCTGCTGACATTACTTTAACTGAGAGCCCCAAAACGTCTTCATCAGTTTCAGTGGGAAGCCCTAATGTAGTGACACTGGGCGCCCCAAGTTCATCGGAAGATACTACGAGCAATCCTCAAGTTTTTACATTTTTATCAGAACAGCAAACAGACAAGCTAAGCGAAACCTCTTTTATCAAATTATCTTTCGAATGTGAAAATTATTATTTAAGCAGGTTTAGGAGAACGGATTTTAGTGGTTGCGCCAAACTATCGAATGACAGTGATGTTTCTGTGATCGAGCCTAACAGACCCGTCCAGCCGAGGAAAAACCGTAGTAGAGTGTCTCCTCATCCGACAGCGATACGAAAGCGCCGACTAGCCGCTAACGCCCGTGAACGACGCCGCATGAACAGCCTCAACATTGCCTTCGACCGACTGCGAGAAGTGGTTCCTTCGATTGGAAACGACAGAAAACTGTCTAAATATGATACACTGCAGATGGCTCAGAGCTACATCACAGCTTTAAGTGAACTGCTCAACAAATAATTAGAGATTGCACGTACAACTTTTATCTAGCAAATAAGTATTTTGTGTTTAATTTGTTCAGTAATTATTCTTACCTGGTGTTTGTCGGACGCTTCAAAGTTGTTGTTGTTGTGTTTTTTTTTAACATGTACATCGCAAGATCGAGTGGATTCAATACCTTTAAAAACTTTTGTTGTTGTTCTTGATGACTAATGTTAGCCTGTTTAAAACTTAGAAACAACAGAACTTTTGAAAATTTGTTTTGTCGAGCTGCCTGGCAACAGAAGAGCGTGCTTTTTCGCTCAAAAGATTTGATACTCATTAGAAACTGGCTCTTTCGCTTAAATTGCTTTTTATTGTATATTTTACAACGTATATGAGTTGTTACTGAAATACGCGTGAATATGTTTATTAAAATATTATAGTGAGTAATAAGGATTATGTTTTTATGATCCTAAAGAGCACGTATACTATAGTATGTAAGAAAACCAAAGTCGTTATGTAAATGTAACTGTATATCATGAACCACACTAGTGGTTCATAATATGGATCGCAAGGAATTGTACAAAACTCTAATAGAACGTTTGGGCAAAAAGCACCTTAAACAGTAAATATTCAGTTCAAACAACACTTTAAAACATTTACTATTAACTGCTAATGCTGTATACACATAAAGATGCACACAATCCGTTTACCACTTCCCGTTTATAAGTTTTGTTATTATTATTCTCTTGCCAGCCTACAACAAAAACGACTTGGTATATTGCACCCAAATGTTTTCTAGAATAATAAATAAGGTACTGCGAAGGTCGTTGGAGTATCGAAAAGTCGATTTCTTTCTTTTGCATCTTACACAAGTTAAAAACATCATAATTCTAGAAGTTCAGATTAAAGTACAGGGTGAAACAGGAATAACCTGTAAATAATAGATAAACATTAGATGACTGTAACATGTAGAATACTCAATGCTTTGTACACTATACAATCGGTGTCTTTAGGGAGCCAACCCCTATAATATATTTAAAGTGAAGGAGTAAAACAAAAATAACACACATAATATTAAGTTTTATTACACATTTGTAGAATAATTACTTTAAAAGACAAGAAGGTTTATTTAAAGTGATTTTCTAGACGTATATGTTTTATTTGAAAAGGCTGCTTTTCTACTAGTAAAATTTTATACATACTTAGTAGAGGTTGTGTCTTAGTCTAGGTATATATTTGCCCATTGCTATTC